CCATGCTTACTCCTTTGACATGGTAAGAATTATGCCTAGGAGCTTTTTATTCCCCAAATCAGCCCCTGCTCTATAAAGACAACATGTATTTTGTTAACACCAGTATTAGGCACGCTTGTGTAGACTGCACCACCTCACCCAGAGCTGGAGTGTTGCTCACACTCAAGTGTCAGAAAATTTCTAATAACAAGTACCTGTGTTGCAGTTTTGGGAAATACGCCTTTCCTCATGGCACTATTTCTCTTTCCTCCCTTCTGTGCCAAATGTTCTCAATGCATCTCTCCTGTTTATTCAGGCAAAGCTTAAAAATTAAAAAAAAACTTTATCAGAATGATGAAGGAGTAACAATTTCTTCCACTGTTATTCAGGATAATATTTTTGAGGCTCTCATTGAGGTGAGAAGATGGATGTGATTTTTATTTTCCTCTGTCGTGTTTACCTTGCTGCATTGTTATTTTGAGTCTGTTCGCAGGATGCTGGGCAAATGCCATTGACATAATTGTTATTTTTTAAACAAAGAGGATGGAAAGTGTCGCCTTAGGAGTTGCCTGTGAACTTGAATGTACACCTACACACAATGGCTTCCTTTTATGAACAAAAGTAGTGGGGCGTGGTGGACATGTGTATAGATTTTAAATAGTTTATTTTTTTAAAAGTATGCAAGCTGAACTTTGCTTCAAAGAGAATTCACATAGCTGCCAAAATACACATAAAAGAAAACTGTCCTGCAGAGATGCCACTAGATCTCAAGCTAGTTATGAAATTGGCACCCGAGAGTTATTTCTGTCAGAGGACATAAGATGGATCTTGAAGAGCCACAGTCTCCATGTAGATGTTGCCAGAAACATAGGCATTATCCTTAACACTTCCTTCTCCCTCACCCTTCCCCCCCCTCACCTTATCCAGTCATCACTGAAAATGTCAGTTTTACTTCTAAATAGTCTCAATTCCATCTCCTTCTCCATCACATTTCAGTCCAGGACCTGATCAGGTCTTGTCTGCATGACCAGAGCTGCCTCCTTCTAGTCCCTGTGTATCCACTCTGGGCTCTCTCTCATCCTTTGTGCAGCCCAGGTCATCGTGTTTCCAAAGCCCAAATCTGAGAAAGGCCTGCCTCCTCACCCTGTGCCAGCCCACCACACACAGACGGCCCTTAAATGGCTTCCTTTCACTCTTAGGGTAGTGACTGAATTCCTTAATGTGGCTTACAGGGCCCTGCATGGGCTGGTCCATGCTTGCATCTCTAATTGCAAACCTTCCATACCTTCCCCTCTTCCCCCATTCTCTGTGCACCAGCCATACCAGTCACCTTGTAAACCGTTTTACTTGCTATGCTCCTCGCACCACAAGGCTTTGCATATTCTCTTCCCTCTGCCTGAAACACCCGTCCTTTCTTTGCCAGTTAAGGTCTTCTCATCCTTCAGACCCCAGTTCCTACATCCCTTACTTAGGGAAGCCTTCCTGGACCACTCTCTGGGTCGAATACCCTGCTTTATAGTCCGTATTACCCTTATTTTCTTCTCCTTTATAGCACCATCAAGGGCGATTTGTATTTTATACTTTGATTATTTGATTAGAATCTCTCTTACTGGACTGTAGGCTCACTGGGGGCAGGGACTTTTCTTATCTTCATTTATCACAAGACAAACGTAGTGCCTAGAACAAAGTAAGAACTCAGGAATATTAGTCAACAACTGTAGATGGATGGATGAATGGCTTCTTGAAGTATCCATTTTTGTACCAGTTCAAATGGAGCACTGGTCCATTTCCAAGATGTTGGAGGCTCAGCACGGACTAAACAACAGATGGAGGAAGAGATCTTCCATTTGTAGGCCTCAGAGAAAAGGGGGCAGATGTGTCCCTCCTGGCAGAGATGCCCTGTCTCCCTGGCCACATCCTAGGGCCACTTCCCTCTCCAGCTTTTCCTGAGGATCAGCTCTGCTGGCTCTTACTCTGCCACTGCCTCAGTTTCCACCTAGTGCTGTTCTCACCCTCCGTCAGGAAAACAGACCTTTGCCTTGAATGCCTAGAAGTTAGAGGAGCAATTTTGACTCTTAGGACAAGAGTTTCAGTATAAATCTCCATCCCTTATGTGGCTGGACAAACATTTTATGCACATTAGGAAAGTACTAAAGTAGTTTTGAGCTTGGGCTAAGAAGTCAGATTTCCTGAGTAACCCAACTCAGGCAGCTATGTGATCTTGGGAGAATTCCTTAAAGGTTCTAAGTCTCAGTTTCCTTATCAAAACACGGCAACAGTATCAGTACCTACTGCGCGAGAGTATTGTGGGGTGCTTTGGGCCACCTGTGTCTAGTAGTAATATAGTGCAAGCCACATGTGTGATTGAAATGTTCCAGTAGTTATATTTAAAAAGTAAAATGAAACAAGTGAAATTAAATTTAATAATATATTTTAACCTGATATAGCCAAAGTATTATCATTTCAACATGTAATCAATAATAACTATCAATGAGATATTTTAATTCTTTTTATTCATATTAAGTCTCTAAAATCCAGTGTGTATTTTATACTTACTAGCACATCTCAGTTTGAACTAGCCACGTTTCAAATGCTCAATGGCTGGTGGCTGCTGTATTAAGCAGTGCTGTTTTTGCTAATTCATATAAAACTTGGTACCTAGTTCATACTTAACATTCAACAAATGCTGGCAAAATTATTGTTGTTCATTTTAGAACATCAAAATTGGGTGGACAAACATTTGTACTGTGTGCTTGCATTTTTTGCCATGTGGGAAGATGGCTCAGATCTATTTTCATTTCTGTTTCAAAGGAGTAAAGTTGACGTTAAGTGTTCTCTGCTGTTCCCCTGAAGTTGGTCTCTGGGGTTCAGAATGAGGTCAGTTTGCTGGTTTATGTTCGTCTTTTCTTCAGGAGGTGGGAAAGGGGAAACTCGGTGTGCTTCAAGTGCGGCGTTCCTGTCTCTGTTTTTTGGGTCTTCTCTGTTTAATTATTTGGAGCTGGAAAAACTTGATTTTAAAACAAAACACATGGGCTGAGAGTGACTGGGCGGACATTGGCTAGTGAGGCAGCGCCGCAGGTATGTACCAGTTGAGGCCCCGGCCCCGCTCCGCTCACTTGCGTAGGTGTCGCGTGCTCCGGGATCTCCAGGTCCGCTGGGGTCCTGTGTGCACCTGTCCCTTGTTACCCTGCTGTGCAAGGCGCTGTGAACATGAGAGGAACATGCTCAGTTGCTTTACTTCTGTATGCAGGGTCCCAAGTCCCTTTGAGTCGCTGGGGGGACTGGTGCCTCTGTTGTTGGGGATCGGAAACGGAGAGAGAAGCGGCACTCTGGCCGGGGCAGTGGAGGGGCTGACGTCGTTCAGAATGTGGGGATGTTGAAACAAGCAAGGGTTCTAAACACTTTTCAAACCTTTAAGAGCCACGGTAGGAAGAAAGGAGTCTTGGGTTTTGCCAAATCGAGGACATGCTGAAGCTGGTCTCTCCAGGGGCCCGAGTATTGCACATCATCTCGCTACAGCGGCAGGTCATCGTCGGGAGAGTTGGGAGGTTCCACTGTTTCAAACTCCACCGCATTTTCAGAGCCGTCAGCCGTGCGTGTGTTTTCAGGCCCCCCTTTCCCCTGGGCTCCTGCTGTCTTCCAGCCCCTGTCGGATTTATTAGCCGTTGCCTACCAAGTGTCAGTACCTCCCCGAGGCGAATGGCGGAGGCCTCGCCAGGTGGACGGTTCTCGGGTTTCCCTGAGGTTGGAAAGAACTACCCCCGCTCTCGTGCTCTCTGCGCACCCCTCTCAGCGGACGGCTTTCCTGACATTTGACTTAATCAAGATGTTAGCAAAATAAACAGTGTGCGCTGCTGCCAGTCAGGCTGAGACCGCTCCTCACCCTGCCCCGCCCTCTCCACTTCAGCGTTTGGAAAGGAAATTCAGAGTTGCTGTTGATAGTAGAGATGAGGAATGAGCAGTGTCCTTCCTCAGGGCCAGTTACACCCAGTCTTGATCACTGAGCTCTCGGGTGGACAGCCCTGTGCGGTGATTCATCAAACCTGTGACACCCTGATGATAAGACACTGTTATTTTAGGTACAATCAAGGAAGAAAAACGAACCTGAGATACCATCGGTTTTAAGACACATCCCAATTTCAGAAATGTCAAAATGTGAGGGGGAAAATGTGTGTCTGAGAGCAGATGGAATACGGTGAGAACTAATTAAACTGGGAATCGCCTGGTTAGCAACCGCTCCCCCCCCGGTATCAGCGCAGCTGACGGACAGCGCTGGGAGAGGTGCGGGTGTGGATGGAGGCGCCTGCCCGGGCCCGAGTGCGTCTGTGTGCTCTCCCTTCACTCAAGTGTGTTTGTTGTTTGTGTGCTCCATGTTATATGTAAGGTTATGGCACTGAGTCGAGACCAGGCCGAGTCATGGAAGCCCTCTCAACTACAATGTAAGTAATCTAAGTTTCTGAAAAACAGAAGAATCCAGGAATTTTCTTTGGGTCACATTGGACTTGATAAGATTCATGTTACTTTCTGAAGGAGTGGTGAAATCTTGCTGAGGGACGTCCAGGCTTCTGCGTGCCCTCTCTGGCCAGCCCATCTGTAACGTTGCGATGGTGAAGAGAGTATCACCTGCTCTTCTAAATTCATGCCCCTGCTCATCCGTTTCCTAGTGAGCTTGGGGCTGGAGTTTATGGGAGCTCACTGTTTCCTCTCATCCCCTAAAAGGCAGCATTCAGCATTACTGATGACTTGCATTCTACTCAAGATGCTCCCCAATTATTATCTTTCATAGTCTGAGTGACTTCTAAGCACCTACATGTCCTCAACCTTCTTAATTCCATAATCACTTGCATCAAGGGGATTATGCTATTTTCTCTTCCTGTTAAAGACTGTTACTCAGATTTTAGAGAAAACCGTTTCTCAGCCAGGTAAAGCGACCAAAGAATTGATTGAAAACGTTCTTCTTTGTATTAGTAAAAACATGGTGTTTCCTGTATACTTAACACTGCTTTCTCTCTTTCTTTCAGTTTTTGGGAATAGCATTTCTTGGAATTGGACTGTGGGCGTGGAATGAAAAGGTAAGTTGAATCTCATGAAAATGCACACATTCCGGTTGTCAGAGGCTGCACATTATATTGTATGTTGTCTCTTTTTCCTCTTTGACAACTGCAAAGTATAAAGAAATATGGCTCTTTAATGAAAGAAAGTATTCTTGGTAGATAATGTCATATTTCAGAGACTCTTCAGGAATGGCTCCTGAATTGATCACCACATCAGAATAATGGCAGAAGTAACAACACACATGCGTAACAGAGAGTGTGTGTTGGAATTTTGTCAGTTACCAGACATACGTGTTCCCCTGGCACACCCCCTCACTCTGGCACGGGAATTTCAGTAGTGCTTATCAATATCACTAAACCACCTGTAGCCTTTTTTCTCTTTTACTCTTTTAAACTCTTTGGAAGAATACTCAAGCCATAAAAATGATTTTTTGGTGTGAGCATTATGTGACAAGCTGTTAGCATGTGGTATGAAGGAAGCTGGATATAATTCATGTGTCAATATCAGATAAACTTATTGTTAATGCTCAAGAATGTGAATCTTGTCTACTGATTGAAGGTGTTGGGGAATATTCAAAATTTATGATCAAATACAGTATAGTAAAAGGAAAAATCTGGAAATATGGAGTAGCATCTTCTAGGCTACAGAGAAGATACAGTGTTCTGGGCAGTTTGTTCTCTAAGGAACACACTCATGACACCACCGCCCTGTGTCCACTCCTCTGCTCTACTTCCCATCCACACCTTTTAGTTTTTTCTCTACAACTTCCCCTCCTGAGGCCAAGTGCTGGAATTCAAAAAAGAATGCCAACTCCTTTTTTCTTCCTTCTTTGGAAGTGAAATCGTTGGCAGCGTTTTATCTGTCCTGGTATTTGGCTACACAGTAAAGCTTTATTATCTCCACCTTGTGAGAGTGAGGGAGTGCATGGATTGGTTAAAAGTTGTAAACTAAGAACTTAGCTTAAATTTTCCCAGAAGACTATCTCTTTGGTATTTCACCCTCTGAGCCTGACCATGGCCTGAAGTCAAGAGATCCTTTGAAGTATTATATATGTATTAAGAAGGGAGGGAAAAACGAAAAGTCCAGCAGACAAAAGCCCCTCAGATGCCAGTAGGAATTCCCACAACTAAAACCATGTTCAGATAGACTGCATCTAATAAAGCTCAAAGTAAACCCTGAGTTTGGAAATTGAACCACCCTCTGTTTATTTACAGAGTCCTTCCACAGAATGTAAAATGTTTTATGGAAAATGAGGCATCTTCCACCACCTTATGAGGCAGAGCGGTGACTATATATGAAGGGAGAAGGATCAAGTTCCCAAAACAGAGAAAATTTTATTTCTAGAAACTTCTCTGTTGAATCCTGTCTTGTGGATTGTGATTAGCTTCTGCCGATCCCTGTAAGCCTGGAGACTTGTATTGGTGGAGTCTCAGAGACCCCACTTGTAGGAGGCCTCAGGTTGGGTCAGTGCCAGATAACTGGGCTTTGTATAACTTTCCTCTAATAAGAGTCCATTTCTATCTGCTTTGGAAAGATGCTGGAAGGCATTAAATGAACTAATTGTCTATTTTAGCAGTAAACAGACAATTGGTCGTTTTGAAGGTTTTTTTTTCCCTTTGAAATATAATTATCTTTTTGTTCTGTCAGTTGCCTCAGATGTCTCTTCTCTGATAAAATCACAGACTTCTAAACCGGCCGTGTCCTGTAGGTGTCGGGGCAGGGATGGCAGTCCTCCGGGAATGAACCGAGCTCTTGTCAGGGCTGCTCTCAGTAATGGACCGTTTCTCTGGAGAGCTGAAGGTCCGTGGCCGAGGTCACTCACGTGGGTAGCAGAGGGTAAAGGACATGCAGTAGCCCTGTTTGGTGCACCGGCGTCACTCTGGGCCTGGGGTGGGGACGCAGCAGGGAATGATGCAGAGTCCCTGCCCCCTGGGAGCTTGCATTCCTGTAGGGGCACTGACAGCTAGCAGTGAACTAGGGAAGTATGTGTATCCAGGTACTGGGGAGTGCTACCCAGAAGCATGAGGTGCAGGGTAAGGGCTGGAGGGGGGAAGGGGTCTGTTTCAGGTAGAGCAGTTGGGAACAGCCTCCCTGAGGAGGTGGCATTGGAGCAGAGACCTGATGCAGTAAGAGGGATCTGCAGAGCACTGGGGGAACAGCATTCTGGGCAGAGGGAATAGCAAGTGTGGTGGCCCTGAGTCAGGGACTTGGCAATTCCAAGGACCAGGAAGAAGACTAGTAGGACTGGAAGGGAGAGAGCAAGGGCAAGAAGAAGTAGAGGATGTGGCAAGAGAGGCAGGCAGGGTCCTGCAGAAGGCGAATGAGAGGAAGTCACCAGAGCATTTTGATAAGGGAACATCCTGATCTGGCTTTTATTTTAAGATCACTCTGGTTGCTGTGTGGAAAAAGGACATAGTTTTGGGGTTGAGCAGGCCTGAGTTCAAATATTGATTCCTCTGTTTATCCTCTGTGTGACTTTGGGCACCTGCATTAACTTCTCTGAGATACCCTTTCCTTGTTTGTGCAATGGGGACACTATTGTCACCTCTTAGGTTGCTGTGAGGATTAAATTAGATGGCTCCCAACACAGTGCCTGGGATAAAGTGAATGCCCCCTGCAAACACGGCCCCTCTCCTGGATTCATCACTATAGCATGTCCACTCCTACATGGGGACAAGAGAGAATGGTGGCTTTGAAAGCCGCCTCAAATTTTAGGAGAGTTCCAAGCTCTGATCCATGGGCCAGAGAACTGGCTTTGTTTTGGGATCTCTTAAAGAGGATGTGATGCCCATCTATTGCCTTGGGTAACTGCAAAGGTTGCTCTGTGGAAGCCCTTTGGGTTAACTTCTAAGCTGGACCAGCCTGTGATGGGATGATGTTCGGAGGTAAACCACCGCTGGCCAAGGGTGGTGGGCAGCATGCGCCTGTGGGGCCGATGACACCAGCCGTGAATCAGTAAATCCCCCGATGGTGATGTGGTGGCATTTACCTGGAAGGAGGCCTTGAGGGGAAAGCCCTGAACTGGGTCACAGCTGGATGGATCAAATTCCCTTAATAGATGGGACTTGACACGTCTCTACGTGGAGTACAGAAACACTGGAGGCAAAAATTATTACCCCTCATGCTTGCTTAATACCAGGCTGAGCTTGAAACGTAGGATGAATGCTACCGTTGAATATTAGACATAATAATTAAACAGTTCATTTTATCTCAATTCCAAATCAACTGTGAAGATACAAACGATGCATGTCTCTCCAGGGGAAACTGGTTTGTGTGCAGTTTTTCAGAAATGATGGGATCTGCTGTTTTAGAAGGAACGTGAACAGTTATGTAGCATGAATCCCTCTACGACAGGCTTGGCAACGTCCGCCATGATCAACTCGTTCATTCACATGACACTGTGGAGCACATAGTGGGGACAGGGCTTGTGCTGGACTCTGGGGATGTGATTCCTCAGGGAGTTGACGTTCTAGGGAGGGTGTATAAAATATATATATACGTAGTAAATGCTAATTTGGAGTGTATATAAGTTTAAGAATTCCTGTGACACAGTACTCACCCCTTCTGTCTCTTTGGTTTGTCTTACTGCTGGAAAGATCTTCCTTCCACCAAATTAGAATCGTGTCCTACTAGTTTTCATTCAGTGATTGTGAATCTACCCTGTTGGATTCCACAGAATAAGTCCTTGTACATGTTAGTCCTTGAGGTAGCCAGGGTGTGGTTCCTTCTGACTTTCCAGACCCAGCCTCTGCTTCTCCTAGGCCAGAGTCCCGTCTCCATCTTGCTCATGCTGTCTGACCGTCCTCTAGTGTGTCTTCTGTACCACTGAGAGGGTGCGTTAGGGGCATGGCGGGTACAGCTGCGTTATGCCCCTTCTCCCCTTGTCTCCTGTCAATGCAGCTTGAGATGACACTGCTGATCACTGGAAGTCCCAGTGGTCTCAGATCCAGCTAGGTTTACTCCATCCAGCTCACATCTGGCTGGTCTTCAAAGTCCAATGCAAGATCCCACACTTCCCAGTTAGAGTTCTGCCCGCCTCTCTACCTGCTGAGATTGCACTGGAGCTGAAGCTGTCAGCCAGTATCTTCCCCATGTCACGCAGCTTGGTTTTTGCTGTGTGTTTGACCAACCTCCTCCCTCAATTCCTTTGTCTAACTCAGGCCTGCCTTTAGCTCCTGGCCCCAGTGCCACCTGGGAAATTCTGACTCAGTAGGTCTGGGGTGGACCCTGGGATGCTCTGTTTTAACAAACCTCCTAGATTGTTCTGATTGCAGTCAAGTTTAGTTGTCACTGATGAAAGCCACTGATATGTTGAGCAGGCTAAGGACAAAGCCCAAGGACATGTCACTTGAAGTTTCCTTTGGGTTGACATTCATTTACTTACGTGTGCCCTGGGGTGTCATCAGTCAAGCAGTTTCTAATACATCTACTTGTCGTTAACATCAGACTGGTTTTCTGCATCTTGTCTTTGTAGAGAGGCTGTATCCTCCACTTTATCTCTGCTTAACCAGCCTAGGGACTTTCTTGAACCTGCCACTTTCTTATTGAGCCCATTCTGGGTCCTAGAATGGATCATTTTCTCATGCAGGTGCTCAGAAACTCTTATCAGTAAGGCAGGGACTAAGGCAGGGTTTGTCACTCCTCCCTTCTAGAAACACTTTCTTCACTTGACTTCCAGGATATCACACACTCCCGATTCTGCCAGCTCCCAGGCAACGCCTTCTCACACTCCTTGGCTCATTCTAGCTCGTTTCTCTGACCTCTAAATTTTGGGGTGCCCCAGGCTTGGTCCTGAGACCTCTTCTGTATCTTCACTCCTGCTCCAGGAGGTCTCATCCAGGCTGGGGGCTTTAAGCACCTCTCTCACTGCTGACTTCCACATTTAGATCTTTGGTCCTGGCTTCGTCTCAGCTCCAGACTCGTTAGAGCCGGTAGCCAACCCAGCATCTCCACTTCGATGCCCACCGGGCTTCTGAAGCTTAACCATCAGAAACAGCACTCTCCAATTCCCCCCTCA